CTATCAGAGGTGGGGTTCCCGCATGCCAAGAGAGGAGAGTGAGACAGAGAGAAGCGAGGGTTGGGTGCTTCGCTCCTGCCAGGACCTTCTGCCAGGTCTCTGCTGCCCACCTGGAAGGCCAGGCATGGGGCCGGGGTCTCTATTCTGGGACCGCTGACCTCTGACCGCTGGGTTTTGCTGTGGCTCTTCCCACCCCACTTCCCCCCAGAGCATCTTTGCCGCTGCCCCAGCCATCGGCTCCCTCCTCTCCCCAGCACCCTCCAGCTTCTCTCTGGTTTCCTCCCCCTGTGCCCCGGCCCTGCGCTGATCTGGTCTCTGATCTTTTGAGGTCCCATCCTCCCGCAAGCAATGGCGTGTCTAGAAACATCAAGATCTTTCCTATCTCATTTCCTGCCCAGAGCCTGGCACAGTGTCTGGCGCACGTTAGATGCCCAATAAACAATTACTGGAGGAGTAACAACTAAATGGATAGAGCAGACACATGCAGGTGGCTTTTATTTTGTGTTTTGGGGTTGGGGGCAATCTCTGGCGAGGCACTCTGGTCTCAGTGCTCGGGGATCACTCCTGGCAGTATTGGGGGACCACGTGGGGTGCCAGTCATCTAGGTGCACAGTAAGCACCTAATCTTTTGCACTATCTCGCCAGCCGCCCACCTCCACCCGCCATTGGTGGCTGTTTAAGGTCACCTGTCTGGATTTACAGTTTCCCCTTTGCCCAAGGCAGGAGAGGACGCTCTGGAGCCCTTGGCCAGCAGGCCCGTTTGCGGAGCGGCGGTCGAGTGTTGCTTGCAGTGCCCGTAGCGGCCAGTGGGGGGCAGCAAGCGGTTGCGCTTGAACCGGGACAGCACCTGTCCGTCAGTGTATAAACCTTTTCCTCTCCTAATAACTCCCAATTTGTCTGGGAACCGGTTCCACTGTCTGGACTGCGTTTCTTAACAATCCTGCGCCGGGCTCGGCGGCCCTGAACGGAGAACCCCGAAGTCTTCCTTTGAATTCAAAGCCCAGCTCTGCCCCCTCATGGGTACTGCCCAGCACAGTTGCGGGGCGGGAGGGTGGGGGGGCGCACCTCTCCAGGCACACCCTCCCCTCCTGCGCGGACCCCAACCCCTCCCTAGCTCCGGAAGCTTCTGCCTTTGCAACTGTGCCTTCTCTCCCCTGGGGATCACTACAAAACCCTCCTTATATCCAGGCGCTGCTCCCAGCGGCTTTCCTGTTTCTGCGCCTCCCTTCCCCCACCCTCCTCGCCCCCCCCCCCCCCCCCTTGGAACTCAGCTCTCTGCCTTGTCGACTTTCGCCTCCCCACCCTTCCTTGGTATGGAAACTCAGCTCTCAGGACACTTCCATTTCAGATCAGCGGCAGCCCTGGCACACCCGCCTCCCAGCAGACTGAAGAGTGCCCTCCTTGACTTCTCTCATCCAAGACGCGCATATTCTCTGCACATGCTCCCTGGCTGGTCAGCGAGTAGAATGCCCACCCAGTGCTGCCCACAGTCTGGTTCACTCTCCCATTGCGCCCTCTGCCCTCACACCAGATGCTGGAGCTTGTTCCATTTGGTGCCCGGCTTCCCTTTGCTTTTGTGTCACACTAGTGCTCGGGGCTTACTCCAGGTTCTGCACTCAGGGATCACTCCTGGCAGGCTGAGGATCAGATGGGATGCTGTGGATGGAAGTCTAGTCAGCCACGTGCAAGGCAAGCGCCCTACCTGCTGCACTATCTCTCCAGCCTCTGTCCTGTGCAAACCTGGAGCTCTGCATTTAACACCTCCCCACCCAGGCTCCACATGTGGGCACCGGCAACAGTGGCTAGAAGTCCCTGACTGGGCTTTTCCTCTCTGCCTCTTGCCCTACACCCATCCCCTCAGAAAATTCTCTTTTTTAAAAAAAATTTTATTTATTTATTTATTGAATCACTGTGGGAAAAGTTACAAAGCTTTCAGGTTCAAGTCTCGGTCATGCAATGATCAAACACATTTCCCTTCACCAGTACTTATTTTTCACCACCAAGAACCCCAACATACCCCCCCTCCCAACCCTCCCAATGCCTGTGAGGCAGATGAATTCTAGTTAATACTCTATCTACTTTGATTAGATTCATTGTTTCGACAAAAGATGCACCATTATTATTTAGAGTTTACACCCCCAAATCAGATCTGCTGAAAAGGCATTGTGAAATAATTTGTTTTCTCGCGGCCGCGCGATTTTGGATTTCTGATATTTTACTTATTAACCCTGGAAGTGTTTCTGCCGAGAGTCACATAATTATAAGATTGGTTTCTGTGGCTCTAGAGCCATGGCCATGCCGGAGAGCTGCTCGTGGGGGGCAACTCGCGACCTCGGTAGGGCATGAAGGACGAGCCAGGAACGCCCACTTCCCATGAAGTTTCAGTCGCCCCATCACGACCAGCTCACACCTGGCTTTCCAAAAGGCTCCGAGGCGGCCGCCATCCAGAAAATTCTCTTGACCCTTCCAACCTGCCCCGAACCTGCCGCTTTGTATCACCCACGCAGAGACTACCTTTTCCCAAGGCTGGCAAGGGCCCCCCTCAAGTTCTCTGCATTCTCTCCTTCTCTTGGTTGCTCACCCCCAGCCTTCCTTCCTGCTCAAGCCCCACATTCCTGACTTCTCTGGGGATTTGCCAAGATGTCAGTCCACCTAGCTTCTGCCTCCCCTCCAAACACATCCCTTACTCAACTCCTCACCTACTGGCACCCCTTGCCTTTTGGAAAAGTTCTAGTCTTGGCATTTGGAACCACTGTTCTAGTGTCAGTGCTCTGACCCATCGACCAAAGTGCTGCCTCCTTCTTTCTTCTGCTCAAGGCCACCCCATAGAGAGGCTCCCCAACCTGAAACAGCACCCTCTACCACAGCACACTCACATCCACCTTCCCCACCTTGCCCCCAGCACTTGTTTCCAATTTAGTTATGGGTTTGTTTTTGTTTTGTCTTTCACCAAAGACAATAGCACTTCACCGCTGGAAGAAAAACTCCCTAAGCATGGGATTTGTTCATATCTGTTCATCGTTTGTCACTTTTGCCCTAAGTGTGTTAGGCACAGACTAAGCCTTTATATTTTTATTGAGTGTATGTATGTACGTATGAATGGATGGATGGATGGATGGATAGCAATGCAAACGGATGGATGATAGATGAGGGTTTGGTGGATGGAAGGACAGATGGACCAATGCATGGGTGATGGGTGGAAGTATGAAGGATGGATCATTGGATGATAATGGATAGATGGATGGGCAAACAGATGGATGATAGATGAGTGGGCTGACCAATGCACTGATGATTAATGGAAGGATGAAAAATGTATCATTGGATGGTAATGGATGGACAGATGGGTAAATGAATAGGTGATGGATGAGGTAGGTCAATGTATGGAAGAATAGATGTATCAGTGTATGGATGATGTATGAAGGATGAAGCCTAGATCATTGGATGGTGATGGATGGATGAATGATGGATGGATCACTGGATGATGAAGGGTGGTTGATGAATTGTTGGGTGGATGAAAGCATGGAAAGGCCAATAGTCTCACAAAAAATATCTATGGGACAAATAAAATTCATCAGCATCTCTTGCATCTTAATAAAATTTTGTTTTCCCTAAATCCCACTTATTTGTATCCTTCCAGACACCTCTAAGGGGATGAGGGTGGATATTTCTTCACCCAGTTTTCAGACTGTGGGTGGAGACAAGAGTGACATTGATCTGAAGTCGCTAGAGGGTTCCCCCATACAAGACCCAGCATCTCAGGAGTGACCACAGTTCACTGCTTCTTCAGAATGGGGAGGAATTAATTCTGTTTAGCTCAAGGATACTGAAGACTCCTCTGATCTTGGCTGAGCTGGAGAGACAACAGCAAGACTGGCATGGCTGACTGTTGATCAGGGAGGACCATCTGCAGAAGCAGAAGATGGGATAATGTCTCAGCAGGTGAAGCTTTAAAAGGACACAGGGCACAGCGGGAGGGTGACTTTGGCCTCTGCTGACCATTCCTCCTTCACTTGCTGTAGGAATATGACTGATCATCTTGTGGTGTTCCAGCCCCCACCTGTCAATATCCTTTCGATTGGGACATTCTCTTCAATCGGGACAACTCCCTAATAATCTTTTTAAAGCATGAGTGTGTGGGGCGGGGAGGGTAGAGGGGACACATGAGCATCATCTGTTCTATTTTGAAATTGCTGGTACCACACTTTGTCTCTCCAAAGTCCCACCCGAGGATTTTCTAAAGCATCGTGGCTAGATATTATGCATGCTCCCAAAGGGTGCTCAGGGTAAGGAGAAAGTGTGGTCTCTGAAGGGGAAAGCCAAAGATAAGGGCCAGCTAGAAGCATGAACTAGACATGTCTGATCTTAAACCAGGATTTGCATGACCCAACTTAATCCTCATGGCTACCTTCAGGGGGGAAGATTAATAGCACTTCACAGCTAGGGAAACTGAGGCCTGCCAATTGACACCCCAGCCTTGCCAACTGACAGTGCAATAAGTGCAATCCAGGTGAGACGCCAGTCTTCCCATCTATAAAACGGGGACGTTTTATTCAATAACCCCATACCCTGACTATTGTTGAGTGATTATTGAATAAGTCACTCAACAGCCAGGCTTCCAACCTGGCTGCACACCGGGACTCCCTGAAGAATTGAACAAAGGAATGGTGGCAAGGTCCCAAACCAGGAGACAATCTGACTGCAACCACCTGGGGCTGGGGCTGGGCACTGTGGGCAGTGAGAGCCTCCCAAGTGTCCTAATGGGAAGCAAGTGCTGAGCGTCTCTACTTCCTGAGTCCCCTGCACCCCCCACCCCCCACAGGCACTCTGGGGGCACAAGCACATACAGTGGACACAGAGATGCCGAGGGACACAGAGACAGGTGTGTGTGCAGCAACCACACAGCCGCCTGCCCGCCCAGTGTTAACTGACAGTTCCCATGGAAACACAGGCCCACCCAAGTGCAGCCCCAAAGACTGACAGGTGCGTACAGACACGACCAGCTACGGGACCTGATCTTGGACAGACATAATCGGAGTCCACAGCTCCGCCTAGTGGTGGAGGAAGACTCAGCGGTCTCCAGGGCTGAGCGGGGCTGCCCTGCCCCGGGGTCCCTTACCTTCACCACAATGGGTCTCCTGGGGACGCGTTCTCTCAGCAGGATACGGAAGCTGCCATAGTGGCCGTCATTGAGGTAGTACATGAACTTGCGGTGGCCACCTGGGATGGGAAGAGGGTAGCCAGGGCTCACCCTGACCCTTGCACCCAGACTCTGTGCCCAGGGCTGGATGATCACGCTTCCCAGCTCTGGGACCCTGCAATTGGGGCCTGTCCCAGCTGCCCACAGCCCCTCTCCCCTGCAACACGAGCACGAGAGCAGGTCTGCCTGAAGTCAGCAGAGCAGAGTCATGCTGGGACAGCCCAGACCTGGGTTCCAGCTTCTCAGTGCCTGCAGCATGAGGCAAAACCAGGAGCCAGAGGCCATGCTCTGACAAGTCTCTGAGGGCTGTTTCTCTGGAACCTGCCACCATGTTCATCCTCTTCTCTCCTTCTGTGTTTTCTCATGCTGTAACTCTGGAGGAGTGCTCTCAGGGTGGATAACTCCAGGCGGCAGCAAGACTGCCCTGCTAGTGCCTGTCTATGTGAACTGCTGTCTAAAGCAGTGTGTGTGTGTGTGTGTGTGTGTGTGTGTGTATGTGTGTGTGTGTGCGCACGCGTGCACTTGCTTACTTGCTTGCTTTGATGCTAGGATGTATCCCAGGGCCTCATGCTCGTGAAGCACGGATTCACCACTGAGCCACATCCCTGGCCCTACCCTGTCTTCTTACTGTACAAACTTTAATACAATGCAACTAAACACAAGATTCAAATTTTCAACCTGTCTAGTAGGATGTTACCTCCTGAAAGATGACTGGGGCTAATTTATCAACTACCCCTGTGAGACTGTCTAAAATTCTCTGCCTCAACACTGACTCTGTTCTTGCTCCCTGTTAGAGTCTGATGGAGAAGAATGAGAACTCAACAGCAGGTTCAGGAGTGGGTCCCCGAGCCCTCAGGATTAGGCGCCAGCTGTGAAGGGGTAGTTCTGGCTGCAGCACCCACTAACAACAACAATGCCTCCCTCCGCCCCCCAGACTGGCCTCGCCCACCTGCCCTTCCCAAATCTCTTCCCTGGAAAACCACAACAAACTCTCTTGCCCAAAGCCTTGGATCACCCATTTCCTTCCTGTCCCTGTATCACCCTCCAACTTCCTCCCCACTGGGCTCTGATAAGTCATGTGACTTTGACTTCTAGGGAACTGTGATTAAAAAAAAAAAAAACAAAACAAATCCTCTTTCTAATATGCTGTCCAGTTCATGTTCCTGTCAATCCTGGGAACGTTTGAAGAGTGTCCTGGCCAGGGTGTGGCTCAGCTATAGAGCACTGCCCATCCCCCAACTCCCAACTCCCATCCTCGGAGGAGTCCTGGAGGTCACTATACTAAATAGTCAATAAATATTCACTGCTACAAATGGCAAATGGAATACAAAGGGTGTCCTGCCGTGCACACGCAGAGCAGCAAGTCTCCTGTTCCACCCACAAACTCTGCCTTGGGAGAACAGCTGTATCCTCCTGTGCTCTCAAACCCCTAATGCTGATGGTTCCACTCCCCAGAGCTTCTGTTCCCCCCACCCACCCACCCACACACCTAGTGCCAAGGTCGCTTTTCACATCCAGAGTCTGTCCTCGGTCACTGCTTCCTCAAATTTAAACTCAGGGCTTGGCACTGACTTCTGCTGAAGTTTGGGACACTCCAGCGACTTAGATACCCAGACGTCTCTGAATATTGATGTCCTCCCCACCAGCGCCTCCCTGCTGTCAGTTTCTCCATGTCCCTTGTCCCTTCCTCTCTCTCAGATGACATCACTGATTTTGTCTCCTCCAGTCACAGTTCCTGCTGTCTCTGTGCCAAGGAGTCACGAGGTCCGTGAGTTCCATGGCACAGCTGTACTATGTCTGGTACACAGGGCAAAGACCAGTATTCAGCACGGGGGTCACACAGGCTGATCCCACAGACACCGAGTCTGAGATCAGGTTCTGCCCCTCTGGCACTGGTCCCAAGAGTGATGTCTAGCACCATAACAAAAATGTGTGTCCAACTGTGGCAACTACATGAGTACTGCAGCCACATGTGTGAGCCCTTGATTTGGGGGCTACACCAAGTGTGCTCAGGGCTTACTCCTGGGTCTGTGCTCAGGCATCACTCCTGGCAGGGCTTGGGGAACCATATGTGGTGCTGGGGACTGAACCAGGTCAGCCAGGTGCAAGATAAGTGACCTACCCGCTGTACTGTCTCTCCAGCCTATTTCACTGCTTTCTGCCAAGTGCTCCTTAACCTTCAGGTTAGAATCCCAAGAAACGGCATCATTCAGCAGAGGTAAGATTCCTACTTACTGCTATAGTTCTGGCTCTAAAAACATGACCTGTTAGAAAAGCCTTAGTTGCAGAGTTGAGGTCACCCCAGCCCAGTGTGTCTGACCCGAGGACTGGGCGCTATGCCTTGGGTATATCTCTCCATGCAATAGAACATTTTCCCAGTCTAGCTGAAAGCAACAAAGCAGCCACATGGCCAGGTTCATTCCTACCCTGATCCGATCTGAGGCCTGTTCCCTGCCAGGTGGGCACTCAGTGGCTGAGTCCAGGCCCTCCTCTATCCACCATGCCCCTGGAAACCCCCACCCCCCACCCCAGACCTGGCCCACCCACCTGGTTCCAACTCAGCCTTCTTGGCAATGATGTTGACAGCAGCTGTGAACACAGACTCGGCGTAGAAGCGGCCAGGCTCGGCGATGACGGCCACACCGTCCCGCTCGGGGAAGTCTCGGCTCAGGCAGCCATTGATCACACTCGCTATCTGCGGGGACAGACCCTGCCCCTCAAACAGCTGCCCACAGATTTAAGGGGCTGACAGGCACCACCTCCCTTCAGTTCCCTGGATAGAGCTTTGGGGTAGTAGTGCCAACCCCCTTTCACCCCCCTTCCACTGTTCAGTGGAAACAAGCAGAAACTGTGACTCTGGATGAAGAAGTGGTTGTTTTGGTTGTTGTTTTTTTTTTTTTTGGGAGGGAGGGGGGCATTGAGCCATAGCAACAGTGCTTAGTGATCAGCGCTCAGTGATCAGTGCTTCCTGGTTCTGCTCAGGAGAGACCCCTAGTGGTGCTCGGGGTATTGTATGTGGTGCTGTGGATTCCACCTGGGGTGTGCCACATGCAAGACAAGCTTAACCCCTGTACTATCTCTCCACTTTGGAAATGCAGTTTTTTGAGCCTCCCAACTGCAGCCTCAGAGAGTTCTGAAAGGAGAACATTGGGCTGGGAGAGCTGGTCAGCAGAGGTGGAACGTGCCTGGGTCTGGGTATATTTGCACCCCAGAGCAGCTCGCCAGGAGAGAGCGAGCAGCTAATGCAGCAAGAGATGATCTGAGAGCCAGATGCATGCACAAGTTTTGGGTCCTGTGTGCAGGCATGAACATCACCCAGCCTGGTACATGCCCCCCATGCAGTCATGGAGTTCCTGGTGCATTCACACAGACATGTGCAGACAGATAGACAGACAGACAGACACACACACGCACACACACACACACACACACACACACACACACACACACACGCTCACTCTCCCACTCACTTCCCCGGGGCAGTCTCTCTCACCTCCTCAAACTTAGGCTCTGAGCCCTCCTTTCCGGGGAAACCCCCTCCGATGTCCAGGAGGCGTATGTCATACCCCATCCTGCGGCCCATTTCGATCACATGCCGGCTGTCTTCCAGGGCCTGGGTGAAGGCATGGGCGCTCTGACAGTCTGAGCCCACATGGAAGCTGAGCACAAGCCCGGCAGGTGACGTGCGGAGACACATGAGGCCCATGCGGGCCATGGGGAAATGCAGGAACAGAGACATGGTCACATGCACCAAGAAGAGGAAACTGAAAACAAGCTCGGGGACACATCTATGCTAGCCCACGTGGACTCTCACGGAAACACACAGCCGTGCTGTTCAGAAGGGGCTGCCCAGAGATAGCCCGCCCCACCTTGGTACTCAGGGGCTGGGGGGAGGTTCTCTCTCTTAGACCCGCCCTCTGCCTGCATTGCAGGGCTTCCTGCCTCCCTCAGCAGACATGCTCAGAACCTCAAGTCCCAGTGACCCCCACCAGGGTGGGCTCAGGAAGCAATCAGGACCAAGTAGGAGGAGCTTGGTGCAAAATTTAATTGGTCCCCAAAACACTAAGTAATCAAGAGAAATTGCTTTCACTGCAGTATTTTGAAAAAGCAAATTTGATGCAAAATACCATGATGAATAAAATCTATGCTGTTTAATAAAGTCAAAATCAGTCATCCTGATGTGTCCCCAAAGTCAGAGGCCGCATCAGCCAGGCCAATCCTGTCTATCTACAAAAGGTCATTGTTTTTTCCCCATCAGGGATTTTTTGTTAACTATTTTTTAAAAATTTTTTTGTTTTGGGGCCACACTCAGCAATGCTCAGGGGTTACTCCTGGCTTTAAACTCAGGGGTCACTCCTGGCAGATTTGGGGGACCATATGGGATACTGGGGACCAAACCCAGGTCAAGGCAATCACCCTACCTGCTACAATATCCTGCTATAATATCACTCCAGCCCCTATTAACTATTTTTTATACTATTGTATCCAAGGGTTGTTTTGTTTTTGTTCATATGGGGGCCACATTTGGAGGTGTGCCTCTGTGCTCAAGAATAACTCCTGGCAGGGTTCAGGGTCCATTATGGGGTCCTGGGGAGTGAACAAGACAGTCACATGCAAGGTAATCACCTTGCCTCCTATACTATCTTTTTGTCCCCTCAAACGCTGGACACCTCCTTAAACTGTGCACCCCAGACCAGGGCCCCAGTGTCTCAGAGAAGCCCCAGCTCTGTCATGGAAACAAGGGGAGTTTGTGAGATCCGAAGGCTGCAGCTACTGGGAGACCCATAGGGTGGAGACAGCCTGGGGTCCAGGATTCCCACCCCGGTCAGGACATGCCACTCACCTGACCCCCACCACAGCCAGTCCCAGGTCTCTGGCAGACTGGAACAGATGCTCCCATTTCTGCCGTTGGGCCCCAAACTTGGAACTCAGCTGGAAGGTGCTGCTGGTATCATGGGTCCACAGCTGGAGGACCAGCCTGGGAGAGGGGAGCGAGGATAGGGGCCCTCAGGCACAGTTGGAGGCCTTACTGCCCCTCACCCAGCCTCTCTCCGCCTTCCCACTCAGTTCCCCACCGCCCCTTAGTTCCTCAGGACCAGCCAGACAGTTTATAAATTTTTGTCCAGGTAAGAAAAAGCAGGAAAACAGCACCATGCCTGCCCGGGACGGAAAGGGTATTGCTCCCTTCCGCCTTCTGCCCCCTGAACAGCAAGATGGCGGCCGCCTTGGAGCTTTTTGGAAAGCCAGGTATGAGCCAGTGGTGACAGGGCAACTGAAACCTCATGGGAAGGGGGGCATTCCCAGCTCGTCATTCACGCCCCACCGAGGTCACGGATTGCCCCCCACGAGCAGCTCTCTGGCACAGTCATGGCTCCAGAGGCACAAGGACTTAATGCAGAGCCTGGCAGCTTGTGGCAGAAAAGTGAATGGACTATGTATTGATCCACGGCACCATGCCTCCAGAGCCACAGAAACCAATCTCATAATTATCTGACTCTCGGCAGAAATACTTCCATGCTTAATAAGTAAAATATCAGAAATCCAAAATCATTTGGTTCTTGTAACCAGCTGTAGACAACAAATTATTTCACAATGCCTTTTCAGTAGGTCTGATTTTGGGGTGTAAACTCTAAACAATAATGGTGCATCTTTTGTCGAAACAATGAATCTAATCAAAGTAGATAGAGTGCTAATTAGAATTCATCTGCCTCACAGGCATTGGGAGGGGTGGGAGGGGGGTATATTGGGGTTCTTGGTAGTGAAAAATAAGCACTGGTAAAGGGAAATGTGTTTGATCATTGCATGACCGAGACTTAAACCTGAAAGCTTTGTAACTTTTCCCACAGTGATTCAATAAATAATTAATATATATGAAATATATATATATAAGAAAAAGCAGGAAAAAGCATTTTTTTTCTTTTTGGGCCACACCTGGCAATGCTCAAGGGTTACTCCTGGCTCTGTGGTGCTCAGGGGACCATATGGGATGCTGGGACTCGAACCCAGGTCAGCTGCATACAAGGCAAACACCCTACCCGCTGTACTATCGCTCCAGCCCAAGATTCAGTTTTAAACAATCCTCTGTAGCCCACCCTGTGACAGGATCAGAGGCGTGCACTGACTTTGCCATGACCACTCAGCGTAAGGCAGGTATTTCTAGAGTGTGCAACCGGGTGCTCCTGACTCCAGGAAGACTGCTTTGTCCCATGAGGCAGTCTGATGCCAGACGTCCCAGTGTCAGACTGTGTTCTATGTTTTTCTGGACAGGGAGCATCTTTTTCTGGTACCAGTGTGTACCAGGGAAGGCCCTGTATCCACTCACCCAGATGGTTGTACTTTCCTGGTCCCAATGCTGGCCCTGCCCATCTCTGGGGACCACCTTCATCTAGTTTTGGAGGTCCAGCTCTGTCAACCGGTGGAGCCCAGGCTGGTGGCTCCTCACCTTCCACCCCTGCATGTCTCACCTGGCCTCGGGGTGGTACTGGGCCACCTTGGTCAGCTCCTCCTCGCTGTCAAAGGTCAGCAGCTGTACCCCATGGTGGGCAGCATACTGGATGGAGGAGACGGCCTTGCAGGGATTGGCGTAGATGATGTGTGTCGGGGACACCCCCAGGCCCAGCACCTGCTCCAGCTCCACCTGGTATGGGTGACAGCCATGGGAATCTGCCTCATTCCCCTTGCCCTGCCCCCTAGGAGCCCTGGGCATGAGGAAAGGGACCCACCCTTGCCCATCTACTCCACACCAGGCCCTGTGTGGCCTGTCCACATGGAGTTGCTGGTTTCTGAATGACGACCTAAGGGAGGGGTCGTCACGCCCATTCTAAAGGGGAAAACCCCGAGTCTTGGCAGAAACCGGTCAGCAGTATGGGTGTGGCTGCAGGCCAGGCTCCATCCACTCACACTCACAACCGCCCTGTTCACATTAGCCCAAGAGGTTTCCCGCCCCAAGGCCTTTCACTGTTCCCTCCATGCACGTAGAACACAGTTCCCAGCAGGGAAGTCCCCTGGATTCCTGCCTGTCATCCCCAGGAAGTGTCAGTCCTAAAAAAGAGGCCTTGGGCCACAGGCAACGGGCTCACCTGGCTGGCGCAGTCGAAGCCGGTGCCCAGGGCTGCCAGGATGCGCAGCACCCAGGGGCTGTTATTGCACTTGACCGTGTAGAAAGGTGTGACCCGAGGCAGGGCCTGGCAGAAGGCCCGGTGGCGGCTCACCAGCTTGTCCAAGTCAGCCACCATGAAGGGGTCACAGCAATTCTGTGGGGCCGGGGTGGGGAGGGGGAGACCATGGAACCCCTCACAGCAGTGCTGTGGGTCCATGCTGCCATCATGGCCATCTCAGAGATGCCGGACCATCTGGGAGACACATACCAGGGGGATGAAGCCATAGAGTGAGCACGTGCCTGGCGCTTCTGGCAGTGACAGCAGGCACAAGTGATCGGCTTGTGTAGCCCCAAGCTAGACTAAGGTGGGGGACAAGCGGGGACCTCCCCTGTCCTGAGCAGAAAGGAACCTTGAAATAAGACTTAGAATGTGTGGCCTGTGAAACTGCAAAGAGAATATCATGTTTCTTATCTCCAAAGCATGACTAAGATGCATCCGCTCACTCCACCCCTGCCCCCTCCATCTCCCCATTCCAGCCTCCCATGTCCATCCCCCAGTCCAGATCCCTTATATTGGCTCCCTCATACCGAATTGGAGAGCTCCTGGGTCTTTTTCAGGGCCACCTGCCGGCCCGACTGCCCCGGCCTCAGCATGATGAGCTCCTGGTACAACATGTTTCCAGAGACGCCTCAGCTCTCATCCAGGCTCCCAGGTGGGGTGCTCTTCACCTGTGCTGCTGGGCATATGCCCCAAGTCCTGGAAGCACGTACTGTCAGGGCCGGCTTCTCCTGTGGCAAGAGCTTTAAGTCCTCTGGCCTCCCTGGGGTCAGCCCCAGCCCCAGGGCCTTTGAAAACCCTCCCATGCGGTCTCTCATAGTCCCAGGGGGTCCGTCCAAGCCCTGGGAGCAGAGGGGTGACCATCCCAGGACTCCACGCTCCCTCCCAGAGGAGATCCCCAAGTTCAGCGGGCTGAGAGCCACAGGGGCCAGGGGCCAATGCTCACACTGAGGTGATCGGCCCTGACACCTGAACCTCACACAGGGGGACAAAAAGCCCAGAGAGGGGCAGGGACTCCCGAGGTCACCCCAACTGCAGTGGGCCAGTCTGGAGAGTCTGGAGCCCGAGTACTTTCCGGCCCGCTGCAGCCAGGCTCACCTGCTGCCCATCACAGTAGCCTCCTCAGGTCCCGCCAGGGCTGCAGCAACAGTGTCCTGGGCTTCGGGGAAGTTCCTGGGGAACCCAACTCAGATCTCAGGGCCCAGGAGAAGGACCGTCCCTCCAAACCTCTGCCACCCCTGTTGACCTGGTCCCACACCCCAAGCCCCGCTGCCCTTAGCTGCTAGGACTCCCATCATGGGTGAATAGCCCTGCTGGTCCCAGGAGGACCCTGGGACTGTCTCCTCCCCGCTCCCCACTTTGCAGAGGAAAGCCAGGCCCAGGTCTGCACACCTGGGGCAGACCAGGGACAGACAGTGGGAGGAGAGTCCTGCAGTCACCACTCAGGTGTCCACTGTGGGTTTCTTGAGTTAAATAGAAACCTGTCTCACCTCACCTCACCCCCTGCCCCCCACCCATCTGCCCTCCTGCAGGCAGGCAGCCAAGGTCTTTGATCTGCTTCTGGGCGGCCACCGGAGCCTGCCCTGCCCTCTGAGCCATCTTCGTCCCCCTCCACTCCCCTGCCCATGCAGCAGCTCCCCCTCAATTCTAAAGAAAAGCCTGGAAGGAACCCGATGGGGGGAGGGGAGGAAGTCTCCAGGGACGGTTCACTGGAGATGGACCATGAACTGGTGAATTGCATAAGAGGTGGGTTGAGTGCAGGTTGAGGGACCATAAAGGTGTGTAAGAGGTGGGTAAGGGTGTTGTCAAGGAATTCACTTAATTCCACTGAAAAAAGACTTTGGGGGGCGTATCAAGGAGATTTAATTATTTAACACCAAGATAAACACAGAGAGGCGGTCACCTGAAATTGTGACCCACACAGAGGCACAGAGCACTTTACATAACAAGAGTCCTGCCAACACAGCACACAGGACAAGAAAGACGAGCCACAGCAATAAAGAGACCCAAACTTTCACAATCAAGCTTAGAAAGGTGCCTGTCAGGAGAGCAGTTTTGAGGGAGCAATATGGGAGGAAATCTGGGGACATTGGTGGACGGAAGTTGACACTGGTGGTGGTGAGATCAGTGCTGCAATATTGTACATCTAAAACTCAACTATGAATAACTTTGTAAATCACAGTGCTTTAATTAAAAAAAAAGTGGAGGGGGGGAGAAAAACAAGCAAAAAAAAATGGGATTTCTTGTTTGGTTACTCAGTGACAATGGTGCACCGAGGCAGGAGGGACACCACACAGGACTTAGACGGGGGCCTTGTTGCTGGGAACCTTTGTTTTATGCCCCGTAGAGGCATGTATTAATTTACTAATTGTTACCTTCCCACTGGAGCGATAGCACAGCGGTAGGGCGTTCGCCTTACAAGTGGCCAACATGGCCAAGCCGAGTTCGATTCCTCCGCCCCTCTCGGAGAGCCCGGCAAGCTACCGAGAGTATTCCGATATGTCAGACACAGTAACAACAAAGTCTCCAATGGAGACGTTACTGGGCCCGCTCGAGCAAATCGACGATCAACGGGAGGGCCTTTACCTTTTACCTTTACCTACCTTCCCACCTAGGTAGCAGGTGGATTTGGGTCCTTCTGTTCTGTTCTAGTCAACTTTATGACTTATGACCTATTTGTCTCTGCCCAGCTCCCAGAAGGGGCCACTCAGAGTTCCCACCCATGGCTGCCTCCCTGGTTATCTGTGCTTCTGTTTCTGATTTTCTTGTCAAGACAAGGCATTTATTTATTTATTTTGCCTTTTGGGTCACACCCGGTGATGCACAGGGGTTACTCCTGGTTCATGCACTCAGGAATTACTCCTGGCTGTGCTCGGGGGATCATACGGGATGCTGGGAATCGAACCCCTGTCAGGCCACGTGCAAGGCAAACGCCCTACCAGCTGTGCTATCACTCCAGCCCCAACAAGGCAATTCTTAATCCCAAGGATATCCTGAGAGGAAAGCAAAAAGCTGCAATTTAACCCTTACATTTCCCAGTTCCCCCTCTTCCAAGTGCATATCAGATCACTAATATCATTTTCTATGAGTATAACTCTTCACTCTCCATAACAGGATTAGTGTTATGCATATGCATCAATTGAACAGAAATTCATTGTACATATATATATATATATATATATATATAAATTTAACAGAAGAAATCTGTTGACGAACAAACTGAATTCAATTTACTAAACCTCCCTCTGGTCAGTGCTGCACACCTGAGTTTCTGCCCTACTGACTGGGCAGCTCCCAGGAGGCTGCTGGGGCTCACACATCTGGCATTCTTCAGGAGTTACTCCCTCAGCTCCAAAGAGATGACTCCCTGGGTTCCCTTTAAATCAGCCTACTAGGACATACTTGTTCAGTGAAGGCCCTAATTTATACGAAAGGGAAAATGACTGAAACATTGCTTTCTCTCCTCTGCTGCTGGTAATTAACTAAATAAACCCAAGAATAATGGTTTACGTTTACTTCTGGTAAATATTGCCAGTCATTTTGCGTAAATACAGTAAGAAATATGTCGATTCCTTCTTTATCTTAAACCTTTCATTTTTCTTTTGTTTTAGGGGGCCATACCTGATGATGCTCAGGAGTTACTTCTGGTTCTACACTCAAGAATTACTCCTGGTGGCACTCAGGGGACCATATGGGGTGCCAGGGAATGAACCTGGGTTGGCCTCCTCTAAGGCAAACACCCTACCCACTGTATTATCTCTCCAGCCCCTGAACTTAGTCTCTGTGGGCTCAGGGGTAAAACGTTAGAGCAGGGTGGCTCTTTCTGGGGACCTCTCATCCCATTTCCCAAACTACAGGCCTTAGGCTAGTTTCGTTTTAGCTTTTCTAACCCCAAAGGGTCCTTGTTGCTTCCTCTGGGTAGGAGCCCTTTTCAAGATAACTCTCTCTCTCTCTTTTTTTTTTTTTGCTGTTGTATTAATTTATTTTGTTTAGTTAGTTTTGGGGCCACACCTGGTGGTATTCAGGGCTTACTATAGGCTCTGTGCTTCAGATCACTCCTGGTGGGCTCAGGGAAATATCGGTGCCAGAGATAAAACCCAGGTTGGCTACATGCAAGGCATGCCCTGCCTACTGTACTACTTGCTTTGCCCCCAATTTGTATTTAATAAATACTCGTATAAATTGTGCATGACTTGATCCACTTGTGTTGAATAATACTTCAATAAAGAAAACATATCCTATGTGGTGTACATAGCACTCCTTATCATAGCACTTTTCACAGGTAAATGGTGCTCTAGACTTAGATGCATTTATCTTGCAGATAGAAATAATTGTCTTGGTCAAAAAACTGCACAAGATAACTCTCTTGATCAATATATTTCTTGCGGACCCCTAGGCTTTCCCGTGTTGAAGCCAGGGTAGCAGATGCTTGTCCCAGGTCCATCCAAGGCCCTCGGTGGGATCCACATTTTGGGATGTCAGGAATTAAGCCCAGTCAATCTTAAGGTAACTAAAACGTAAGTTAATGTGACAGATGCCCAGATTCTTTTGATCAGAGTCCACCTTCATACTAGCATTTTCGAGTCAATTAACTCCTAAATTTATTTCAAAAGCATTACATTATCTTCTTCCTGTGTCCATGAAAATAAGAAACTGCCATAAAAAAAATACAAAAGGCATAAAGGACAGAGAAAAGTAAATATTTAAATTATATCATGATGTGATACTCCTCATTGCCTTGGGTAATTAACTTAAAGACAAAAATATTTTTTTCTTAGATCGTTTTAAAAAACATATCATGTATCTCAAACCAAATTGTTTAAATTTATAGTCATCTTCAATAGTTTGTTCATTCTCATAAAACTTTCTAATTACTTATCAGCAATTCTTAAAATTCTAATTCTTATAAACTTATAAATTTTCACAAAATTGGGCTGGATAGTGCAACAGGTAGGACATTTTTCTTGCACATGGCTGACCTGGATTTGATCTCCAGCACCCAATATAGTTCCCTGAGCCCCTGAGCCCTGCAAGACATGATCCCTGAGTGCAGGACCAGGAGAAAGCCCTGAGCACTGAAGGTGTGACCCAAAACCAAAACCAAAAACAAAGAAAAAATAACAATTCTTGAAAACAGCAAAATCTAATGAAAGGAGAAAAAGTTTTAAGTCAACTATGTTACCTTTGAAGATCAAATATTCCTCCCAGCTTTCTATTTTATCTTCCTTTATATTAAAGGTCAATTTTCTTTTGGGACAAAACTCTTCTACTGAAATATTTTAAATCTTAAGTCTTTTTTTCCCCCTAACCATAAATGCATCTGAGAGATAGAGAAGCAAAGGCAGAGCCATTACAGGCTCATAAAGAAACCAGAAGAAGCTAGGCCTAGGTTTCAGTTCCAGAACTCCTGGAATTGATCACAGATACCTGGAATTGAGTTATTATTTCCCCGAAATGAGACAGCCATGGTGAGATCAGCTAAGGATTACCAATCATATGCAGGTAGGGAAGCCCCCCTATATAACCCTTATGTAACTCTAATGCAACCCTTATGTAAATCCAGCTTATACCCAATCACTAAGTGAAAAGACCCTCAGACTGTGGCCAAAAGTGTGGT